TGTCTAGCTTACATATGAGGTGTCTCAAGATTTAGGAACATACAATTTTATTGAATATAATAAAAGTAAAAAGTCACTTGACATGCTGCTGTTTTGTGCTATGATCTATTTAAGTGTTGGAAGTTGTTATTTACATGACAACGCCTGAACGCAACACCAGCTCAGCAGGAGTGCCATGCTACGCTGCTGTGCGTAACAGCAGTCTGTTGATGGTTATTTACACAGTGTCCATAACAATAACTTTGTCAGCTGACAAACTGCACCGGGCTCGGGGTCAGGTTTGGTCAGGAAAATGCGGCCCGAGCCACTCTAGAGTGCTCACCTGTGTGTGTGGCGGAACTCTGCCGTGCGCGATACAGAGAGCAGAGCAGAATTGTTAACGTGTGACCATGTAGAGACAGAAATGACACGATGACATAACACCATAAATAGTATATTGTTAAGTTATTATATGAAGCGTCCGTCGCGCAAAATAATATCAATGGGGGCTGTGGGCAGGACATTGTTACACAGTGTGTGCCTGTTACTTCAGGCAGAGAGACCGCTGCATCAGAGCAGAAGAGCACGTTTTAAAATACATTTATTTTATCAATTAGTTATTAACTTTTACTATTTTTAGCAACTTGCCCGATCGGGCAAGTGAGTTGTTAGTTTACATGCCCGATAGGGGTGTAATGGTACACAAAAATCTCGGTTCGGTACGTACCTCGGTACACAAGTCACGGTTCGTTTTTTTTTCGGTACAGTATTGAAAAAAATAGAAAACTATTAAATATTTTTTACTTATTGGTAACCTTATTAAAACATACCACCACAGCAGTTAACTCTTTTTACACATTTTTTGAATGAAACAAATATATATAAAATCCTGCTTTTTCACATTGTTTGAATGAAAATAGAAATATAAAAGTGAAAAATAAAATCCTGCTGTTTTTTTAACACATTTTTTGAATGAAAAATATAAATATAAATTTCTGCTTTAACAGTTTTACTCAATTAAAATAAAAAGTATAGTGCAGCTGGTCAGCTTTAAAGCCTGCTCAGATTCAGTTTTACTAAGAACTTACTTAGCTTTCCCACTTTGTTAAAGTGCAGTAAACAAAACATGCTTATATCTAAAGTGCAGCTTAAACAATTTTACTCAACTCCAATGGCGTTGATTATTTCTTTAGCGCGACAGTCAGGGAAACGCTCTTTCTTTTTAAATGACGATGATATCGTAGTTTGCACCAGATTGCTTTTTCTAGTCGTGCCGGTTAACGTTCAAACTCGAGTGGTGTCGCTTTAGATGCGTTAGCATGTTAGAAATGTTTCCAAGTACATACCCGACAGCTGTTCTGCAGTGTCAGCACACTGCTTTTGTCTTGTCCACTTGTTTATTTCCATCTTCGTATTTTACCCTGAAACCAAAGTGTTCCCAAACGGAGGACTTAAGGTTTGCGGGTGGGTCTTCAGGTTCGTCAGACTCACTTGCCATGTTGTCAAAATGCGAGAATGCGCTGCACAAAGTGAAAGCAGAGATTTACGGGACTCAGTCCGTCACTCAATTATGTCCGTCGGGGAACTAGATATTTTAAATGGTTCGGCTCGCAAAAACGTAATTAAAATAAAACAAAATAAAATAAAATAATATCCTGTGCCCAATAATTCGGTACAGGGTCGTGCTGAACCGGAAGTCGCGTACCGAACGGTTCGACACAAATACATGTACCGTTACAGCCCTAAAGCCCGACCTTGAGTTTTACTTGCCCCGGGCAATCGGGCAATCGTTATTGTTGAGCCCTGAAAGAGAAACTGTACCACAAACGGTTTTACACACTATCCCTCACATTGTAAATGAACAACCATAGTATGCCTCTGCCATCTTTGTTGTAGTTCGAGACTGACACCTGGAGTATTAGAGCTTCACTAGCCATTACTCCTACAGCGAAAGCTTGTAAGTTGCAGTTCTAAACTTATGATGGTGGATATGGCTGCCACATCAACATGAAATGTTTAGAGTCAGGGCTGGGCTATAGAAAAATATCAACAATTATCTTTAGTTATCCTTAATAGAAGGACAAATGTTCGATATGATTAAAACATGCCTGTAGACAGGGGCACTAATGGACCCATAACACTAACTGTTACCCACATCTAAGCAGGAGACAACGACAAGACCAGCCACCAAGTATGTAATGTATGTATGTATGTATACAATACTTATATAACATGCAATAACATTCATCACACTCATAACGTTATTTTTAGTATGATTGCTTTGATCTGGGATAACAACACTGGGCTACCACATGATTGAATTCGCCACTTACCTTACAGTAGCTGCATGGGCAGTCGACTCATCTAATGCTAAGAGTAAGTTAACACGTTAACTTGACTGACTTTAAAAGTTTAATACATTTCCCCATCCATGAACATGATTTCTGCCTGACTCACATCAGATACTTTCATTGTTAATGAGTAATCCCAAGTTACTTTACATCATCAAAGTCAGTCTTTTCATTAAGAAACAGCAGAAAGTACAAACTGTGGGTTTAAGACTTGTACAGAAAATATTGACCACAGTTGAGATTTTTGTGTTGCCAATTTATTTTGTTCATGTTGTCGCTAAAACACTTAAAATATTTTTCAACTGTCTGTACAAGTGTTTGACATGCTGACCAGAATTAAGGGTTCTTTGTCTATTTTTGATTCTGATAGCTTTGAATCTACCTCAGATTTGTGAAACGTTCTGTTGTTCCAATGATGATAATAGTTTCAACCATAATTAACCATCTGGTTTCTTCATCTTTCACTCAGGAGCAAAAGCCTTGAAAGAATGAATGATTTGACATTTATTGTGATAATTATTAATATCGACTGACATGAAAATTTTTAGCACAATAACATTTTTGGCCTTTTGCCCAGCCCTGTTTGGAGCACAAATTTAGATGACTCAAATTTCACAACTTAAGTTGTCCTTCATGCTTTTCTGTATTAACAGAAGGGTGCAACTTAAAGAAGCAAACTTTGTCAATAAGTAATCTCTTTTCATGTTTTGGTCATGAGAATGGCATGTCTAAAATGCATTGTTTTGGTAGTGTATTTTACTTCCAGTCTCCCTGGCACTTCTTAGGTTGGCAAATGCCTGAAAGTCTGAGGAGTGTCAGTGCTGCAGTAGGTTTCATTTCTTGTCTGTACTTTTACAGGAAAGCATTACGCCAAACCTGAATGATCTTGGATGTGCCAGCAGAGAAAAACAAACACCCACCAGACATTGAGTTTCATCACGGACAGTTAGCTTCTGTTGCATGTAAAGATGACCCAAAATAAAAAACAAATCCAACAGGACTAAGAGTGAAGTTGACTACTGTAATCACTTCCCATCACTGCAGGACAAGAACTATGTATGCATGAGTTTATTTAAGTGCTATACTGGCATTGAGCTAGAAGACACTGTCATCTACCTCCTACATAGATCCCTCTCTCACCTGGATAAAACTGGGAGCACTGTGAGAGTCATGTTTTTGATTTCTCCAGTGCCTTCAATACCATACATCCCATGCTTCTGAATGACAAGTTGGAGTGCACAAGGGTGTACCGCCACCCGACAACATGGATTCTGGACTATCTCACCAACCAACCACAGTATGTGAGCATATGAGACTGTGAGTCGGACACAGTTCTCTGCAGCACAGGGGCTCCGCAGGGAACAGTTCTGGCTCCCCTCCTCTTCACTCTCTACAATGCAGACTTTAAACACCACTCAGCCAACTGCCATCTACAAAAGTTCTCTGCATTTCTGCAATTGTTGGCCCTATCAAAGACGGGGATGACAGGGAATATAGAGAACCGATCATCAAGAGAACATCCAGGGACTGGACACTGAGATGGTGAAATCTTACAAGTACCTGGGCGCTCACCTAAAAAAAATAAACTGGACTGGACAGAAAACATTAATGCACTATACAAGAGAGGACAGAGCAGACTCTGGGGCAACAGCATCTCGACAGCTGAGAGGAAGAGACTCAACAGACTGATAAAGAAAAACAAGCTCTGTCCTGGGATGCTCTCTCAACCCGGTGGAGGGGGTGGGAGAAAGGAGAATGACAGCCAAGCTATCATATCTTATGGACAACATAAGATATGGGAGAATGACAGCCAAGCTATCATATCTTATGGACAACATGTCCCACCCCATGCAGGACACTTTGACAGCACTGGACAGCTGCTTCAGTGACAGGCTGCTTCACCTGTGGTGTTTTAAGGAGAGATACTGCAGGTCCCTCCTTCATGCTGCTGTCAGACTGTACAACCAACACTGTTCCCAGTAGACCACACACACTCAAACTGTGGACAATCAATCATCACTCATGCAATATCTGTATCTGTGTACCAACTGCGAAATATCTAAAATTGATGGGTGCAATAATGTAAATTCTGCCACTCAGCCTGTCTATTTATTATATTATGTTGCTTTTATCTTTTACTGCTTACAATCAATGACTCAGGTGCAATATCAGTATTGTTAAACTGTGCAATATCTATACTTCCATCGGTCAATAATGTAAAATCAGTCATTCAGTCTGTCTTTTTATTATATTCTGCATCTTTTCGATGCTTCCTTATTCTATGGCTTTGTGTTTTGCTCTTTGTTCTTGTACAGTTTATTTTACATATTATATATTACTTTGTAATTTATTTATTTTTCCTACTGATGCTTCCTGTTTGCACTATCCCTTTGCTGCTGTAATGTTGCAATTTCCCTGCTGTGGGGTGAATACAGGATTATGTTATCTTATCTTATACTTAAGTATATGCCAACACCAACCAAAAGTTTAACTTCAGACTCAATCTGTAAATCAGGGACAGATTTACAGATTAGGGCTAGCAAGCTTTGCTGCTGTCTAGCCATAAAGATATTACCATGATAGTATACAAGATGAAACATTTATTAATCTGTAACCTAAATACAGGTCATAAAGTCATATATAGTAAAAGCCAACTGAAATTTCACTTACTTTGGTGGCAGGCTGAGGGGAGAGCGTGGTTTCAGTTTGTCCTCGTCTTTCTTCTCCCTGGTGTCTCGAGGAGGACGCATCCTCGGCCTGTCCTTCTCATCCCGCTTCATCCGGTCCCTCTCCCACTCTTCTTTCCGCCGCATCCGCTCCTTTTCACGTTCCCGCTCTCTCTCCCTCTCTCTCTGTCGGCGCTCCCTCTCGCGGTGATCTCTTTCCCTCTCCCGGTCCCGGTGCCGCTCCCGCGGGTCACGATCACGTTCGCGTTCCTGTCAAGAGGGATGAGTTCAGTTTTCTAGCAAAAACATTTTGGTTTGCCTACCATGTGAGTGGCAATTAGACCCTGGCACATTCATTCCTGCTGAACATTGAGGAATCACAAATATATAATTTCATTTCTAAAGAAAAAAGTTCAGTAATTTGTGAATAACTTTTCTGTTGTCTTTGTGCCATGTGCTGTACCATCCACATGATGTCCTCTGACCGGACTTTATGCTAAGTATTTTTGCTTTAGTTGGTGTTGTTGAAGGATGAAGACCTTAATGTTCGAGAGGAAAAATTATAGTTGACTGTGGAGGATACTCACATTGTAGTGGTATGGAAGAGGAGCTTCTGTGTACTGCACTCTGAAGTTTTCATACTGGCCACCTCGCCACAGAGCCTCCATTTCATAATCATAGTATGGATCAGCATATGGGTCACTGCAGAGGGAAACTCATTTGAGCAGTTGTACAATACCTCAAAAAAGGTTACTTCAAAGTTTATTAAGCATGGGGCAAAATACTGTTTTTTGCTGGCTATTTTACTTTCATGCTATGGTGTTTTTACAAACTGCCTGCAGACATGATACTTCATAGAATTACACAGACTTGCATACATATTCTTTAACAAGATATTTTAGTAGTTCAAACCTGAAGTCACAAAATGGCAATTAATTATCTATGTATTATACTTAATGATTTTCAAAAAGATCACTGCTTTTATATTTTTTTGTTATATCGTATCATATCAGAGTTGGAACTCTTTAAAAAGTGGCAGAAATGTTGAACATTGTCCGATTCAACAATTGTTACAAAAGACAACCCTCTTGGTACGCAGATTAAATCAACATCTGTCTACACCATGGCTAAGTGAAATGTGTTATTAAGGCTGTTTAAGTTAGTCTACACTTACCCATATATAGGATCTCTGAATTCCATTTCACTGAAAGAAGAAAACAGATTAGAATCAATGAGGATAAAAATCGATCATATCGCATTTAGTAAATTTCCTGCATTTACTACACACTAATTGTGTGTATGCTTGAAGGGCAAACTTATGTGTGTTTTGCTGCAACAGCAGAAAGTGAATCTTCTATGGGGAAGGAAAGCCAGACATGGCCCTTATTACAAATAATTCTATGGAGATTTTATAACAGAACACCAGCATGTGCAGGTAGACTGGTATGATTTACTGGGATACTTTACTGATTTCAACCAGCTTTCATAATAGCAATGTGGGTAGTATGTGTCAGAGAACTGTGTCAAACTTCCCATCATCTTACCAGTGCCATGACTTCCCTACTCATTTTGTTCTAGAGCTGTTGCTCCATCTACAGCTTTACTCCCTCATTTTTGTATTCCCCAAACTGATCAAATGTCAAAATCAGGCAGTGCTGATCAAATATAAACTCAGACTGTTATCGTACTGCCCATTTCTCACCCAAAGTGTATTATATTATATTTTAGTGCACCGTTTAGCTGTAACACAAGAATTTGCAAGCAGAAAGTTGGTGCCATAGTGCTTCCTGTATTTTTAAAATAGATGCTAAAAAGGTGAGATCAAATGGTAAAACGAGGCAATACTAATTAAATATAAACCAAGATTCTGTTACTGCATAGCCCATTTCTTGCCTCAAATGTTTGTTCCGGTGTGATGCAGTGCATTCTGGTAGTTGGAGTTCTAACTCTTGAGCAAAGTAAATGCCACAGTCCTTTTCCTCCCTTTTCTGGTCATGAAGCACCAATTTCAAAAGTACTTGTGTCATTTTACTGCGCAGACAACCCAGTTTTGTGTTTGATGGCTTACTCTTCTAGGAATTGTAGTTCCATGGAGCTCTTATGTGACAACAAGACTGGCCTATGATATCACAGAGGTGCTTACTGACTGACCATAACAGACACCGACTTCTCTATGCCCTTTATTATTATTACAGATTAGCGGATTACATGCTTATTTGTGTTTCAAACATTTGTTAAAATAAAAAAGAAAGCATCTCTCCACTTCCTTAATACAGATATCAGGCCAGCTAACATCATCTTCATGAAGCCATCTGGCTGACTGAAAGCTGTAACAGTTGGGTTCAAAACTCAAAAGGAGTGTACTTATGGTTATTGCTGCACACTATATGTATTTGTTTGAAGTATTCTGTAGTGTCGTCTCACTAACTTTTACTTAAAATCATGCGAGTCTGATATAACTGACTTAAGATTTAAATAGTTTAAAGAAAAAAAACATATACTGCAGGGCTGGAGGTGCTGGCAACTGCAATCAGAAAAACAATGGACTGGATGTAAGAAGGTCATACTCTCTGATGATGCGATAGCTGCGCTCTCTGAAGAAATCATTTTCTTTGTCAAATTCTCTCTCGTCCTCTCCGATGGTCACATTGAAACGCTTCTCCTCAAAGTCTGGCTCTTGCTCCTTACGGATGGTGGCCTTCTTCAGCACCTGTTGGACACAGAGTCAGATACAAAACAGTAAAACACTGATAAAAATGGTGGTGAAAGGGAACTATACTTAACAAAAAAATGAGTTTTATAATGATGTCAAAAGAAATAACACGTCTTCGTCCAACATTCTCTTGATGTTGCACGTACTGCTGCTTTTTTATGAGATGTGTTGCTCATTTGCTATCATGAGTTTTGTTGTGCATGTGATGTGATGCTGGTCTTATGTTTCACATGAAAATAACACTCCAGTAGTTTTTACCCATATTTCAATGACCATCAAAGAGACTCCTCTGTGACAAGGTAGAGATCTAAACCCAAGATTAGTACTTAATACTTAATGTACAATATTTTTCACATTTATTAATGCGCGTGCACCTATCGTTTATTCATTTGGAAAACTTGCAAAGACTGGGTCATGAATGTTTACTGAATTCATCTTTGCCTTCAGTTCTGCAGCCTTTCCCATACATTTATTTTTTCCAGTTATCATGGTCTCTCTTCCTTTTTCTTCCTCTTTGGTGGATCTCATCTCTGCTTTCGTCACTTATTGGCTCTAACATTAGGGTTACATGGTCTTCATTAGTTTATCCGAGCCTTTCTGTTCCTGCATGCTCCGACTATTGCACCTGGTCCCCTGAATTCTCTGGGTCACTATATTCTGGGTGTCCTCTGCCTGGGTCCCTGCATGCTCTGTGTCCTATTTGGGGCCAAATCTCAACTATTTATTTTCATTTCAAACAATGATTGAGAAATAAAAATAAGCCCACATAGGAGTGTAACACACCTGAAAATGCATATCACACAACCACTGACGCACACTGAGCATGCGCATGCTGATGTAAAACAGGAAGCAAATCGTCTACTCTGTGGTTGGTTGGTAAATTACAGAAAAAAACATGAAAATGAAAAGCAAAAGGTAGTATTATCCATTGCCGGAGGAAGCCAAGGTGACGGGAAAGGAGTACCCACACAAGAAGGATGGAAATCACAAAAGGTATGTAGACCTCGCTATAATGTTTTGGCTTGGGACGTCATGACTGATGCTGATGACTGAAGTGAACATGGGTTTGTGTGTCATCGAAAAGTTTCCATTCCCATCAGTCCAGACTAAAGGCCCTGACACACCAAGCTGACGGTCGGCCGTTGACCAAAGGTGGGCCGTCGGTGAGCGTCTGTCGGCTAGGGGTGTGTGATATGGACAAAAAATAATCTCAATATTTTGGGGGATTTTGAAGCTAACGATAATTAGACGATATTCTTTTAAATATGTGTTTTTAACAGCCTGAGTTATAGCTCATTAATTGTTTCTCATGGATGATATTAATGTAAAAATGTTCTTAACATTCCTTGCTGCTTTTTTACCTGCTCTCTCTGTTTGACTCTGGTGATGGCCTTTTGTAGCGTCAATTATGGGTCCATTTGCAACTGTTCAGATAGGTGATTGTCCGGCAGACTCACCACAAGCCTGTCCCTTACCATCTCATCATGTAGAGCCCCGTAACCGCGAACCGTGAACTTTTCCGGCAGGAGACTTGAAACTGTGCCATGTTGCCGCTTCGTTCAGCTAACTGTGGCTAGGTTAGGTAGCTCCGTAGACGGTCTTCCGGTACTGCGAACTTTAGCCTGACAGGCTGGGACCTATCACTACAGTTGACCCACGTCTTCCGAAGCTGCTGGAGCATCCGTGGGCGGTGTTGCTATGTTGTCTCGCTAATGTTTGTTTAGCAGCAGGCTGACCTGCCGGGAAGGTGCCAGTGAGAGATCATGTGACCACCTAGGCGTACTGCAGCGTGCTGCTGCACGCAAGTTACGTAACTCTTGTTCAGTGAATGTGTGGGGTTTCAACCTTTCAACGTGTGTTTTCAGTTGTTTTTGTGAAGTCATTTGCATACTCGATAACGTAAATTTGCACATCGTTAAAACAACGACGATATTATCGTTAACAATATATATCGCCCACCCCGGCCTAGTTTTAGCGGTTTGTCCCGCACCGTCAGCCCTTAACATGAATAACAAACTGGAGCTAGCTGGGAGTGTTAGCCACAGCATGACCAGAGGGAAACACAGACAGTTAGCCTCCGCTAGCCTCCCAGCTAGCCCCGGCTCTCCGTTTGGATCCAACCGGAGCACCGAGCCCTGGTTTGTTATTCAGGTTAATGTGGGAAGAAGCAGCCGGTCTGTGGGCAGCTGAGTGAAGTGGAGCCTGCGGAGGAAACACCGGGACCGTCTGAATGTAACAGTCCGTGGAGGTGCTGCGGTGCTCAGCTGCACAGATAGGTAACACCTCAGCTGTCAGGATGTACCACTCTGTCACTCCGCTCCCTCACGCAGGCGCAGAACATACGTGCCACTTGGCCGTCGGATGTAGTCCGTGTAGTGTGTTCAAATGGAACTGACACAGGGCAACATGAGGCGACGTAGACGATGCAACAGTTGGTTATTGTCGCCACTAGTTCTTGATGTCAGCTTGGTGTGTCCGCACCTTAAAACCCAACACCAGAGTTTTCGAACTATAACAAGGTCACCAGCAGGTCTCTATTTTACAGGTTCCAAATTGCTGAGGTAATGTGGACACTGCATAAACACAGCAATAGAAACAAAAACGTAGCAGTGTGGATGTAGCCTAGTTCTTTCATTCTATGTTTCCTGCCCCTCATCCCCTCCATTGTTCGTGGCTACCTGTCCATCATTATTTGCGCTCTCTCTCTACATGTGTTCCCTTGTACCCTTTTTGCCCCAAGTGTTCAGTTTTAGGTCTTCTGTTTTTTTCTGAATTGGTTCAGAATTCACTCACCCTTTTAGCAATAGAAAGAGCTTATTAAGAGCTTTCATTTGATATCTATAACTCATTTTCACCCAAAATGTCACTTATGCCCTTCTGGTTCTCAGCCCTCGATATACCAGGTTAAGGGGAAACATTTTCCAAACTAATGACTGTAAAAGGTACTCGTACAATAAAACTGTAAACCCCGCAACTGGCAAGCTCCCCCGTTTAGTCTGGAGTGTGATTCAACAAACAGGTCTACAATCGCAATTAGCGTGCACACTCTCAGCAGAATGACAGCGACACAAGCTTAATTCTGTTTCCATGAGGAGCAGTGAAAGTGTTTACCTCTTTGGCATGCCTTAGACCTCGCTCCCAGGCACTCTCCACAGGAGGCTCCACTGGAGGTGGTGGTGGAGGAAGCTCCTCCACTGCAGGTCCAGCCTGAAACAGATGATACAGTCAGTAGATTTGCAGATGGCAAAGACCCAGTTCCAGATCTTTATGAATTATCTGAACCTATGTATGTTCAGTAACAATGTTGTAGCAGGGCATACAATTTCGTCAGATTATAAGTATTATACAGCATTTTAACTGTGTAAATGTAAAAACGTACCCAGGGATTATTGGGTATGAGTGGGTGTGGTCCTCCAGGGGGCGCTCCATTTGGTGAGAAGAGGTCTGGCTTACTGATGAGGGAATAGTTACCTTTGTCGTTGACTCCAGGGTGGATGAAACGACAGTTCATACCCCAAGTGCAATTTCCTGTGGAAACAAAATGTACCAGTATGGTTTGAAATCATTTGCAGCCAGTTGATAACACAGGGACAGTTACCTAGAGTAACAAAAAATGTTGACTTTAGCTATTGTTGGCTATGTTTCTTATAGAGAACACATCACACTATGAGCAATAGAAACACAAAGTGGAATGTATATCAAGTACAATGGCTCCCTCTGCTGTAGTACAACTGCAACCAACGAGCTGATGTAAACCGTAACATCCCTCACATGTTCATGTTCCTCATTATGATAACAAAACATACATTATTACAGCATTAGACTGTTACACATCTATAATTATACAGATATTATAAAGTTAAAATTAAATATTCAAGGGGAATTGGGATTTGGATATTTTATTCAGTGTTCAATCACAACCGCTGTCTGGTCTCTGGCCCTCATATATCAATCTATCTTACAAACCAGCACAGATCTGAGCATAGAAATCATCTTACAATAGGGTTCACGTGTGATTCATGAAATGCTCTTATCTCGCCAATTACAGCATAGGAATAATCAGGTGTTGATAAATGTGGCGGCTGAAAACATTTACATATCCCGCCCGATATATTCTTGGTTTAAAGAGCCTCGCCCCAAGAGTTTATGACTTGGAGAGATAATACGGCAAAAAAGAGAAACTTCTCTAAGCTACAAATGAAAACATTCCATTACAACTATTATAAATGAGTGTGTTTACATGGACATGAATAACCCATTTATGATCTGATTTTTTGGAGTATCCCGTTTATGTGTTTTAGCATGTTAACACCTTATCCCGTTTTCAGAAACCAGGATTAAACCTCATCCTGTTTTTGAGTAACCGAAATTTGCTAGCCAGAGTACTCTAAAAGAAACCAGGATACTATTGCATGTGTATGTGCATCCCGGTTATTGAGTGCCATAACTTCATCCGCCGCTTCTATACGCTGTGACAGTGACAAGCTGGCACCAGTGTGAGTTATGAGAGTAATATAGCTGCTTTCAGAAATAACATAAGGTGAGTAACTACATAGCCTGTGTGTGTGCATTTAAGTTCGAGTAAGAAAGAGAGGGACGATGGACACGCTCACAGCAGACAGCTGTTTGCTACCAGGCAGAGAACACATTAGAAGTTAAGTTGTATGGTGGAAGTAAATGTAAAGTAAGTGATGTATTTTATATATTTCCTTTTGTTCTTATTTTCCATCGCTGATCTGTTTTTGCAAACACCACAGGTGCCTGCACGAATAGACCGCAGTAAGCTGTAACCAGGTTACTAGTATGTTTTATGTATACGGGAATATGAATAACCCAATCTCTCTGTGCTCATGTGAACACCATATCCCAATATATTGATATGAGCCTCAGATAATTCATGTCCATGTAAACACACTCAGTGATGAAATACTAATTCCCAGAGTCTAAAGTGTTGTCTTAGCAACAGCTAAAGAATTATGTTCATTATCAGAATAGACCAAAGTTAATGTCATAAGTAAAACACTCTATGAATAGACAGTTATCAGCCTACAGAGCAGCATAAGTTGTGAAATCTTTTATTCCAGTGGTTCCCCACTTTTATACAGGGAATAGAGGGGACCCTTAAACATGGTTATTAAAGATTTCAGACGGAGATATACATGTGCTGAGCGAAGACATTTTACTGTTGAAAAATGAACTCATCATTGCTCTCTCGTGGAAAAGCTATGTAAGAGCTACACTGTTTCAAAATTACCTCAACCATGTCTTTGCCAATGTGGCAATGCAATTTCTTGTTACATACTGGCGTACATATACACATATATCTGTCATATGCTAAAAGTGGCAGAAAATATCAGCCACACTGATACACTGGTTGAGCTCTGGGTACGACCTGCTCTTCACTACCTACCTTTGATGAAGAACCTGCAGATGGGACGTGGTCTAATCTTCCTGTCTGAGGGATCTTTGACCTCCCCCTCCTCCAGATCATCATCCTGCCCACACATACAAAAGGCAAATCATGATACATGTCTTCTTGTATCCTAACTACTAATCATGCTTTAAAAAGAAGGTATTTAATGAACGTTTAATTTGTAATTCATGTTGATACAATATTCTGTACAAGGCATTTGGCATTATTAATAATATGCGACATAAAAAGTCAGTGGACAAGGACATTTATGGACATGAATACAATGTGACAACCCTTATCGTAAAATCAGGAACAATCAATAGTATGTGACACTGTGCTTAACACAAAACCATTGCGCATTTATCAACAATCACTCTGATTTGACAGTCAAGCGTGAAAGGGGGAGTGTGAGACATGCAGCAAAGGGCCACAAGCTGGAGCCGAACTCGGACTGCTGCGGCAACAGCCTTGTATATGGGGCGCTTGCTCTATCCACTAAGCCACCGATGCCACAGAATATGAAGTGTTTGACGCGCAACGTTTCCTGTGTATGCACCACTCATGCCAGTCACACTCTCAAGCCTCTGCCACCTTTGTATCAAAACAATTGTGGACATGTTATGGTCTCCTGTTAGTCTCCTGCAGTCACGGCAGTCAAGTAACCTGGCAGGTACGCATACAGTGTATCTACTCACATCACAGTTTAGGGGACAGTTGTAACTTCAAGATGGCTAAGCTAAGCAGCCATCATCCAGGTTACTTTTTGACCAAAAGTACCCTTGTGTACACACTGTGCTGTTGGGGTTGTGTGAACAGCACAACACTTAGTCCACTTGTACAGAGTGGAGTTTCTTCCCACAAATAATATTTGGCTGAGTACAGACATAAACTCGTCAAAGCCAAGGTTAATATCGACCTTTCATCATGTTACTCACAAAAATGAACTTCAATTAGCAAAAGCTGATGTGACTAGTTGTCAGTGTTTGTCATTTTAACCAGATCTAGAGTTGTATCTTAGCTAACATTAATAGTAAGGACTGCAGCTGAAAATTAGCCAGCTGACTAACACTGGCACATTTACAAAAATGTATGTTGTCCAGTGTTTCCCCTACCATTATATTAGGGGGGCGCCATTTAAGGTTACCTTTCCTATAGAACAGGTCTATACCTTGTTCTTTTATTAAACAAACTGAGTAGCCTTATGTTATTTATCTTATTCACACGACGGCATGTTATTTCTGTCTCTACAAGGTCGCACGTTTACAATTCTCCTCTACTCTGTATCGCGCAAGGCGGAGTGCATCGGACAATATGTCGCGTCAACCACCTGCAAAAGCAGACAAAAATATCTGCGTTTTTTTAAATGCTCCTAGGGTGGTGAAGATGGTGAGGAAGAAATGTTCTGATGTTTACTTAACTTTAAAGTTCAAATAATTGTTCAGTTGTTATTTTGACTGCCGTCATTAAAAGAAAAACGTGAACAACATGATTCCTTTGAGTGCTTGTGTAGGTGTCCGTCTGACCTGACGTTTTCCAGGTGGTTCAAGACACAACCCTTAAACAACCAGAATTTCCGCCTCATGGTTGTACGCCTCAACGAGCCAGTCAAGCTGCAATTTGCATACATGTCTGTCCAGACTCATATAGCTATGACAGCTAACAATACTTCAAATATGGATGTTGCTCAAAAGAAGCTACAAATTCTAAAATGTGGATGCTTTCCACACATCCTTAGCCCGTCAGCACAGGAGATCTATACAATCAGCACAGTTTCAAGGTGGGCACCCAAGATTAGTGTCACCAATTCAGTATCTGACCAGATGTCTCCCCTTCTGTTCCTGAGATGTGATGTTGAATAATGGCCAATAAAGTGTTTTTGCAACACATTATGATGTCACAGTGAAGCTGACCTTTAACCTTTTGGAAATCAAAAATTATCGCTTCATCAGTTTATCCTATTAGACATTTGTGAAGTTTTATCATAATTACTGTATGAATTCGTGAGTTATGACCATAAACGTGTTTTTTGAGGCCACACTGATCTTTGACCACAGAATTCTAGTCATTTCATCCTCAAGTCCAAGTTTATGTTTGTATCAAATTTGAATTAATTCCCTTAAGGCCTTCTTGAGGTGTCATGTATACAAGAATGGGACAAACAGACTGATGTACATAATGCCCCTGGCCATGGCTATGGCTGTGCTTAGACATAAAAACGCATCACAATACATTAGTGACTTGCTAATCCCATATTTCCTCCCAAGGTCACTCAGGTCAGCATCACAACTCCTCTTAGTCCCTCACTAAGTCCCTCAAAACCAAAGGTGTTTGAGCATTTTCTGTTACTTCTCCCAAGCACTGGAATAACCTCCCATCCCACATTAGGTCTTTTTCCACCACTGACAATTTTAAATAAACATTAAAGACGCACATTTTTTCACTTGCTTTTAGTTCAGGCTAATGCTTACTTTACAACCTCTTCAAACTGCATTTTGTTTCTCGTTATTTTCCTATTTTCCACTTTAGTCCTGCCTTCTCTGTATTACTGTTTTATTGTACTATTTGTATTTACTGCCTTTTATGAACCTTTCACTTTTTCCATGTGAACCTGTGTTGAGGCAGATCCTAACTCTGCCTTGACTGCAAAGCATTTTGATTTCACTCCTGTTGTTTTTAAATGTGTTATATAAATAAAAATGACTTGTCAACAAACAATAATTTCAGACTCAAGAACAGCTACCAGAACTTGTGAAAACTGAAGGCATTTTTTTCGATTTACCTGCACTCATCCAATCACCTCACACTGGTAAACGTATAATCCAAACAATGATCACTTACATCAATCTCTCCTTCATCAATCTCTCCATCATCCTCATCCTTCTTCTTGTCTCTGAAGGAATCTCTGCGACTCCTCTCAGGCCCTTTAGAGTCTTTAGGAGATGGGGGGAGGATTGGTTTTTTCTCCTTCTTCTTACTGCTCTTGTCCTCACTCTCCTCCTCTTCTTCTCCCTCCGCTTTTGTTTCCTCCTCGTCTTCCTCTTCCTCATGTGCAGGGATGCTGGGCTCTTCTGGGACCTCCTCATCATAATCCAGTTCGTGCTCGTCCAGTTCTCGGGAAACAGACGCCGAATCATCCTTCATCTCCCTCACCTTAACAGCTCTCCTCCTCTCCTCCTCCTGAGCTCTCATTCTTTCATCCTCCTCTTCCTCCTCAGCCTTGCTTTTGTCTTCCTCCTCCTCATCATCCAACTCAGCTGTCTCTGGCTCTGTTAAGTTGTCTTTTCTGTAGTCAGTGTATTCTTCCTCCCTGTCTTCTCCATCCTCTTCAACAATGAAGCTCTTCCCCTGCTCTGGCTCTGAGTCTGGAGACTGTGGAGTGTCGATGACGCGATCCTCTTGCTCGTCGCCATCCCTCTCATCCTCTCCATCTAACTGGTCCCTCTGTGGACCATCTTCATCCCCCTCCATCAGCATAATGGTTCCATCCTCCTGTCCCATCCCTTCTGTTTCCCCGACAGGTTCCTCATCCTCTGGGTCAGAGACAAAGTCAGGGACCACCTCCTCGTCTTCTTCCCTCTCATCCTCTAATTCTGAACTTCTTCCTCTGCTTTCCAGCACCTCTTCATCCTCCTCACCAAGCCCCCCATTCTCCTCTTCATGGACAATCTCACTGTCTGAGATGACCCTGTCCTCCTCTTCATCAGGCGAATCCAACAGCTCACTGTCAGAAAGGCCCTTCTCCTCCTCCTCAGGAGACTGAGGGGACTGAGTAGGGCTTTCAGGAGTATCCATTAGAGATTATTCTGGTGTAAAAAGAAAAACAGTAGTGTGTAAGGAACAGACAACCTGTGATATCCTAACTGAGCTCACACTTTGATAAACTTTCTGCTTTTCTATTTCATGAAAAGAACACTTGGCTATACTCCCTTCAAAAACCTGCCAATCTAACATCTTGGCATGTTAGCCAGGTTACATAACAGGTAGAATTACAGAATATTGACTAACCCAACCTATAAAGTTGCCAAAATATAAATAAAGCACCCAGAGAATATATTACCATATCAAAGTATTTTCTGCAAATGACTACAACCCACAGTTTTTGTTGATGAAAATACATTAAGGGAACTAAAAGAAAAAAGACATTCTGTATTTTTTTTTTTTTTACATTCTACATTTACACACACTCAAACTAATACTGAATCAAATGAGCGAAGAACTTGATTGTTAGATCTTTTGATAGATTTTGACATATGAGATTAACAGATACAGTAGAGCATAATTTACACTGAATAACACAATTGTATGACAGCAATATGTTTGTTTTGAAGTGATTTTGACTTTGCTTGAGCAAAGAAAAGCTAGCTATCAGTTGGGTTGATAAACTGGTTGTCTGAATAGAAAGGACTAAAATTTAAAAAGCATTTTACATGAGAATTAGACAAAACAATGTCTGTATATATGACAACAGGATTTACTAAATAATGGGTGGTTTCTGGCGCTGCTAATTCAACAGCAAAGGAAAAACCTAGCAATAGCAAGCTAGCTAACAGCTATCTGCCACAGGTATGAGTTAAAAACCTCCTATACGTCAAATGTCTCGTAAGGGTCCCAAGTTTTAAGTAACCTACTGATAAGTACACAATTAGAGAGCATGCCCACGTTTGTAAATATTACAGTTCATCAGCAGCGTAACACGACTGTTGACTGAGTTAACACTTCTAATAGCTGGGTCGCGCTAGTCGGCAACAAGGCCTATAACTTCAACACCATTAGAGCTGGCTAACCAACGAGCACACTGCCCTCGCCGAAAAAGCAAATTTTCCTTGAATAATATCAACAAATAAACCCGCTAGCTTATCGGATACAAAGCGGACACTGCAGATTTAGCACTGAGCGGACATTGTAGCACACTCGTCTCGTCTTTCAATTAACAATGCAGCCTCCCCTGAAGCTAACTTTAAGCTCAAAGCGCAGCTGCACTCTGCTAGCTGCTAACGACCACACATTTTCATTCACCTTGCCGACCTGGAGCTCTTCAAAGACGGCACTGCTGCGTTAAGAACTGCCCTCTCCCACTGATAGTATTATTTACAGTCTACAATAAATACTGTACGGTTTATTTTAACAGCTATGGTGGAGAAAATAAAACATTCCGCACGACACGGCGAGAGCGGCCATTACCTCGACGTCATCAACATACGACAACCCAGGGAGAAAAAAAACCGCGCTGTACGTGAATGAGGACAGATCTGAGATCAGTGTGTGGGACAGTATGTTGGGCGCTGTGAGGCGGCCAGGAGAACAAAATCTGATTCAGTGACACAAACGAATTTTGTTAGCCGTTATTTTATTTTGTTTTATGGTTTTCTAATTCTTTATTATTATTATTTTGTCATGTAACTCATTCCACATTTTTCAACATAGACACTCCATTCAAACATTAAAATAGTTGTTTAAAATTGCCTTTCGGTGATTTGAACTAGCCTACTTTATTATTGCATGGTTTGCTTTTATGTGTATGCTGTTGCCTTATCTTGTTTTATTTGCTTTGTCTTTTATTTGGTTTTGAAAAGCACTTTGTAACTGTGTTTTGAAAGGTGCTATTTAAATATATAT